TATTGAAAATGTTATTACTGCTGCGATTGAAGAAGGAGATAAGAAAAGTGTATTGTATATTGTAACGCCGACTGATGGTAATGACAGGAGCATGTAACACAATGTTTGATATAGCATCGCGTGTTTTATTTGTCGGTCACGACGATGATACAAATCGAAAGCAGAAAGGAGTTGGAAAATAATTTCAAAATTCGGTTTCCTAGAAGATCTTTGGATACCGGATTCATAACTGGAAAAGCTAAACTAGAAACAAGGTGTGTTTTCATGAATAAATAGGCCAAAGTGTTCTCTACGAAATGGGTTTAAAAGCGATTCAGCACGATGCACGGGTTTTTCGTGCACCCACGGATTACTCTTTCCTTCAGTCTTACAGTCTCAGAAATGAATTGAATCATAGGTTTCGATTCCGCTAAATCTTGTGATAATGTTCGTTTATCAGAAAATTTCGAAAACCGTGCCGTTTAGAGCACTAAGTTTGATATTGTGCGTAGCGTTAACTATCTGTTTCTGTTCTCCACCTACTTTCGCATGTATTATTATTTTGAATCAAAATTTAGAACAATCAAAAACAGAATCGGCAAACATTATAAAGATCTACCATAAAATAGTTTGAACAAACCATTTACTTTTCCCTACTGCGAATCGGATTTGAGATGATGAAAGAAGCGGACACTTCATTTTATGAGTCTTTGTTGAAGTAAACATGTATCAGCAAAATAGAACACCATTTATAATGAATCATTAAATATGTAACTTATTGACAATACACGCACGTGCACAATGTAGTGCGTACATTCACATTTGTGTAGTGAATGCGTTTCTTTCGCTCTGAATAGAAGAGAACAGAAAAAGAAGAAAAAAAAGCAAGAAGAAGAACATTAATGAAAGTAAAGAAAGCATGGTTATGTGGTGTTATCGTTCTAAAAACAAGAAAACGTTTGATGAAAAAACTTGTTTCTTTTATTCTCGGTAATGAGGTACGCAGAAACGGAGAAGCATGTAATACAACCAGGCACTGAAAGTATAGATTAATACGGCCAAGGTAAGTACCCATAATTTTCTTTCCACCAATCGAGTCTTTCAAGCTAACAAAACCAGGTTTCTAGGTGATGTATCTTGTATACCCTATTTGATGAGGTCGCCTGGGCAAAGTTTTCATGGCGCCCTTTAACTTCAAAATACGCAAATAATAGCTGGGAGTGTCCTCTATCGATATGTGCAAGAAAGTGATCATCAGCGTTCGTGCTTCGCCAACAGGAAAGATTTTACTGAGATTTATCTGTTTCTTTCAACTCAAGTTGGAAATTTTGAAACAAATGGAAACATGGTTTTCTACCATATTGAATTTCGTAGTAAAGCTTGTTTTCAGGGAAAGTGATAAAATATAGTAAAACTGAGTTTTGACTAAAAGACATATTTTGAACCATATCCATACAAAAGTAACAAGGTTTATACCTCGCTCAAAATCCAACCAGACCATTCGAAAAGTTCAGAAAAATGCTCTGTTTTTAGGTAGTTTGCATGTTGACAGGGTTAAGAAACTGAAATTCTATTGTGTTATTTATGGTTTTCCAAAAATCAATTGTGGGATAGAAGCCAAATTTAGAGCACTCTGGATGCTCCAAATATTCAATATGCATACCTAATTGTGCTATGAAATTTATTCAATGGCCTGGTTGGGCTTTGAGCGAGCCACAAATCTTCTTACTTTTATTTGGATATGGCTCAAATGATATATTTTAGCCAAAACTCAGTCACTTTTTTCGAAACCAAGCTTTATTACGAGAGTCAACACGATAGACAACTATGATTCCATTTTTTTCAAGGTTTCCAACGTCAAATGAAGGAAATACATAAATCTTGATAAAACACGAATAGGAAGATGTCCAACATATTTCAACCAGGACTTATTCCCTTCGAAAGCTATGGTTTTATTTTTTGCAACCGCTCTAGAAACAACCGAAAACGGTAACTGCATAAAAGTAAAATTTATAGTGCTTATATCTCGTCCTGAGAAATAGTTCAAGATTTCATACTTGGAGCATAAGTAGTCGCGGTCAAGTACCTTCAGAGCAAGTATGAAAAAAAAAGCCAGATCTTGGTTGAGCACCTTACGCGAGAAACGACTGCCTCTAAGATGTTATTTGTGTATTTTGAAGTTAAAGAACGCCATGAAAGCTTTGCTCAAGCGATTTGATCAAAGGATATGCAAGGTACACTACCCAGAAGCCCGGTTTTCAAAACCCGTCTTCCATAATACTTCTTACGGATTTTACTTGCAGAAACTGAAAACCGCAGGTTTGCGGTTCTGTCTTCTCAATGGTAATTTAAAAAACATCTTTGGACAATATATTTTAAAATATACAATAGTCTTGACAATACTACTAGGGATTGAAAGTTATACCGTAGAATCGCTGAACTGTGCTTAGCCTGATTATGTCCAATTAGACGAGACAACTCCATAGACCGATAAGTTTTCTTGTATTCAACAAGACCGTTTTTACGTAGGCTGATCGAGAGAGGCGTGAACTTCATTGTACATTTCCAAGAGAAGTATAGAATTTCGTTGAGACGAAAGTGAAAAGCATTGTGTTATCTGCATATAATCTGTTAAGCAACCCCAGGACATGGTGCTGGATTCTGAATGCTAAGAAAAAATGATGTGCAGGAGGCTGGTTGATACTTCACATGTAGTTCAAGTATCCGTCAAGTAAAATTGCAAGTACTTACCCTTTTCTTCCAATTCAACATTATTCAAGTTCTTATGAAATAACAAAGTACTTGTATCAAGTATGTTCATTAACTTGTAGTTACAAACTTCGAAACATTTTCTCGTTGATTATCTAGTGCAAGTTCTCTCAGTAAAAGATAGAATCATAAAACCAGATGCACACATTTTGCATTTGCGTTCAGCCTTCTCATCAACACTATAGATAAATATTAAACATTTATAACCATGTCGTCATCGTCTGAATTACCTCGTCGAGTACAAGTTGCTATTCCATATAGATTACCAAATTATTATCATTATTTATTCGTTTATATTGAGCCTGCTATATTAGTGCTATCATTTTCAATATTTTTGATGTCAAAAACCACATTTTTCCAGAAACCCTGATTCTCTTGAAAAAAATCTAAGTCAGCCAAAAGAAAAAGCATAATTCAAAACCTCTGTTCAGTCGCCATTTATGAATTGGAATCGATCCTATTAACAAGTTCTAACTCTGAGCATAGCTTACCAATGTGGCTGGTCCAATAAATGTCATGTGAAAACAATAAACCAAGATGCCTATGTTCTTCTACATCGTCGATTGTCTTATTTAAGAATGAGTAATGGTAGAATGGAAGAGCGAAGTGTTGCCGATTTAGTGAGTAGAATAACTTTATATTTTTTAACACTGGAATTAAGCAACCAAGTAGCGGCTCACTGGAATAAACACAAAAGATCTTTCTACTTCTTTAGCGGATTTTTTGACATAAATATTGTAATTTATTTGTTTTTATAGTTTCCATCATAAAACTAGTTACAATGTCATAATGCCTTTAACTATAAGTACTAGTCAATAAAAAATAAATGCATTCAGAACAAAAAGAAGTAAGGTTTTAAAAGTCGTCAAAGATTTGTAGCTATAAAAATTCCAGCATAGAAATCTTTGACGACGACGACGAATTTTAAATTTTTAACAATAAAGCTATCGATACTGACCTCTATGAAGTAATTTAACTTCAGAGAAACTGTACTGGTATGAAGATAGGCATGCAGCATGAAATTGGTATGTATCCTTCAATTTCAACGATAAGGCAAATCGTTGCATATTTATTGAAAAGTATTCATATTCTCTTATGAGCACTTCTAATAAAACATTTATTGAACTCACCGAATCCGAAAAAAAGAATAAATCGAGGTATCGCTCAGTGTTTACCACATAATACAGAATTACATATGAGATTAACTGAACACGAGAAAGTTAAAACTTTCAAGAAAAAAAATTAAAATCACATTTAGACTACTCTGAAGATTTCAAAGTGGCACCCGAAGGAAAAAAAGTTTTTGGGATACTTTAGCTTGATATTTATGTGAAGATAATTTCTTTTTTATATTCTTTCTTTTCCTTCGGTCTCACATGGTATCTAGTGTATTTTGCTTTTCAATTAGAGACTGGTATGGTCTCCCAGTGTGGCTGGTAATAGAAGATTTAATGATAGACTCTCGTTGGTCAGAGATCCCCATATGACTATTATATCTCAGACCTACCATAGAACAGAGAGTTTCGAGTGTCTCAATATGATATTCGGCTAGAGCACAATTTTTTACCTTTCTGGAGTGAAAGCAGGATATTTTTAATGCTTTCCCTTCGAAAAACTCAACTTTTTCAAACATACCTTCCACATGCTTTTTAAAGTCATACTCATCTCAGATAATCTCAAAAAGCGGACCACCATTTTTTTACGGGGCATCGATGCGCATTGATGCGAGGTGTTAACATTCTCTCTAGCATCGGTATTTTACAGTATCGAAAAGGGTTTTTCTCCAGAATAATTTTTCTTTGTCATCATGTTTATTCCAGTTCGTCAGAGACTTTTGGTCAACATTGTGGTTTGAAAGCGGTATACTTACATATTTTTTTCACTTATTAGTTTTCTTTTCTTTTTTCGTTCATATATGTAGTAGGACGGTATTTACTTTGAGCACCAAATTAGTGATAAGACAAATGAGCACCAAAAAACAAGATATGTTTTTACAAGGAACAAGAACAATTAGTCGCCAAATGAATCTTAAAGATGGTGGTAATTCATCACATGCAACATAATGAATACAATGAACAACAATTCGACATAAACAACAACCGGTTTATAACATCAAAGCAGATCGAACCTTTTTTGATCTACCTTTTCCTCGTCGTTTACCTAAGAGTTCACAACGAGTTTTATCACGTATTTCATAAATCTTAAATAATATGGCTAAGCCAACCGAATGTTTACATAAATATAATTTCATACTACTTGAGCATGTACATGAGTGGTGAAACCAACCAACAAGATTTCTGCCACATAACAAATTCATCAAATGATTTCAATTGTTGTAATCGATACATTTGTAACCAAACTACTGGTGTTATTATTGCATTCGATGATGGAACAATATACCATGTATCAAACCAATGTAAAATATTATTTTTATCAATATCATTTGACCATTTGAATGCGGCTACCTCTAAAGTAGATGATATAGAAGTTTTGATGGTAAAACCTTGTGATAAAGTAGCTGTCGACCAATCATTTAACATTTGTTCCATCTTTGGTAAAAACGATGTTAAATGTAATTTATTTCTAAGTGTATATTGTTGTTTAATCTTTCCGTTTAATGATTCACAGCCATTGTTCGTTGAAGGTAGATTGAATGCTGCACCTTCATACCTATAACAGCAAAATTAGTTAAGTAGCTATGACAGAATGAACGTCAGAGTGATAATCTAAATTAAAAATAAACAAGCTTTCTTACCATAGCGGTAATTTTGTAATCCATTGATCAAAAAAATATTGTTGAAATTGTTGAATAGCTGAATCAGCACTCCACTTTTGCGTTAATAATAATGAACCACGACTAAATATATCATCGGAAAAACTCAATTGTAGAGCATGAATATCAGCATCTATATCATTCCATTTATCTTTTGGAACCAATTTTCTATGCTCTCGGCATTTACGAATGACATGTGCCCAACACATTAAACGTTTTGATTGTGGAAAAACTGCCTGTTGAGCACTTGTTATCCCTACAAGGAAACCAAAAGAATGTCAAAACTTACCGATTAATGAAACCGCATTACAACTTACCTAATGCACCATCAGCCATTAAATAACTAACTAAATATGGACGATTACGTTCTTGTGCTGATATAAATCGAAGTTGATTAAATAAGAATCTCTGTCGTTTCGCCAAAGGACAATTCGCCGTGGCGAAAAGTCATGTGCCGTTTCGCCAATTGGCGAAAGCGTACAAATTCTTGGCGAAACGGCACTGGCATTTCGCCATGGTGAATTGTCTTTTGGCGAAACGGTTTTTTACCATCTTTTGTGTACGCAAAATTTTGGGAAACCTCTGACGTTTCGCCAGAGCACGATTCGCCAAAAGACAATTTCCTGGAAATCTCCCTCGAAATATATATTTTCAAACAAACTAAACGAACTAAAAACAAATTCGATATTCCATGGTCTGTTCGTCTGTTTAAGGAGATGAACAGTTGAACAGTCTTCGTATGTAAACTGGCAGAGATTAAAAGAAAAGAATTAAGAGGCGAGAGAGACAGAGAGAACACGAAAAATAGATATGAAGAAAAAATACATATAAGTGTGACTTATAGAGATAAAGAAAGGATAGTCGGATGAGTTTTTCGCTTCTTTCCTCTTTAAAATGTTTTCCCTATAGTCAAGCGACATTTTCTTTACATACGTATTATCATAATTTAAATGGCGATACCTAAGTCAAGTTGGGGATCAAGAATCAGTGAGATTCCTAAGTTACCTTAGGGACTGATAACAATTTACGGTGTTGTAACCATTTACTGGCAAAATGTCATGTGCCATTTCGCCAATTGGTGAAACTGTACAAATTCTGGGTGAAACGGCATTGACACTTCGCCATTTGGCGAGCCGGCACATGACATTTCGCCAGTTGGCGAAACGGTACATGACATTTCGCCATAGCGAATTGTCTTTTGGCGAAACGATTTTTTACCGCGGGGTCTTCGTCCCGAGCTGGCGAAACACGGTATCTGAGATTGCATGTTCTCGATACTCGTGTCCAAGAGCCTCCAAAAACGTTGAATTAAGTCAAAATAAATGGAAAAAGAGTCGTAAAAGATAAAAGCCAATTAGAGTCTGAGGAAGCGCATGAGCAAAATAGAAATATTGGCCGGCTTTGTAAGCAGTAAAAAAGGTTTTTCGTACTCATTGTAGTTGGATTTAGCTGAGTTTTATGCATACGAATGCAAAAATGCATAGAACTGAAAAAGTGTGTAATTTCGTCACGATGAGCGTAATTTCGTCACGAAATAAAATAAGCATTTTATTCGTCTGGAAAAGCCTTTTGCAAAATTTTCTTTTACCAGTCGGTAGTCCGAGAGGAGCTCTACAAAATGTTTTCTAGGATGATTCAGATTGGATCCTTAACTTCGCAAAAAATTACAGTTTTACCAGTAAAACCAAAAATTTGCGCCCTTTTTTTGTAATTTCGTCACACTCCGTGAAATTGCTCTGGAACCTTGACATTAATTCCGAGAAACTTTACTTTTGTACCATAGCTGGAAGTCCAAAAGCTGCGTCGAATGACGCTAGAATCAACTTTCTAGCTCGTGTAATTCGCGAAAAAACTAGACTTTTGTGCGTCAAAAACGTAATTTCGTCACGTTTGGACAAGCTGCAACCAAAATATGAAATATGAAAACCAAAAATGAAATAATGATAAACGTAGGGTATAACGGAGTATGTCGCTGATAAATTATACATGAGTCCTTTATTCAGGATTCCTCGTTATCCGTCATTTTTTCTGCTGGTCTTTTGATACCATCATCATTGAGAATATGACATCTCTACATCGGCATATCTCGGTAATTGAGCAAAAGCACCGGAGAATGCATATTTTATCCTACCCTCAGTCTTCTTAAAAATCAAAGGCAGGTCCGTTTGTTTACTTTGGCAAATTAAATACGTTTCATATCACAACGATTAACCGGAAGCGCATATCTACCTTTAACTATTTTCAATAACGCAACATATTGAAGTAAAAAAAATTATTGTTTACCTGAAAGTTATCTTCCGCTTTTATTGTTTCGCTTTTCTGATGAAAATAATCGTCTGAGAAAAAAACCAGTGACTGATATATTTATACGAACAAATACTGTGGAGAATTCCATGTCACTCAGAGAACATATGACGGGCAGAATTTTTTTTCATACAATATATTTAAAAGGAAAATTACAACCAGCATTTCTATATATATTTAAGAGAGACACCTTTTTGCGAAGGTTGTGTATTTAACGAAAAAGTTATAAAAGAAATTTGTTTTTCATATTTCACTTGGGTTGCGAAAAATTTACCCTTTCTCTCGTGTTTACGCGACATGGAAAAAACCGCAAAAGTCAAAGGACTGCTAACTTTATGTTTAATCAGCTTTCCTGTTTTGCTGGAAAGCAGTATGCTCTTCTTCAAAATACAAGTCCCTTCGAATTATCTGAAAAATCGAACTTTGATCCTCTTTTAGGTTTTTAAAACTGTCTTTTCAAAGTCAGACTCCTATCTAAGCAACACAATCAATCATAAAACTAGAAACTTTGAGTTACATAAATTTAGAATAAAAATGGTAGGAACATCAAGAACTACAGGAAGTATTCGAATTTCGAACTATATAATCTACAGGACCTATAGAAGGATTGACAATTTCGAACATCTGGGGAAATGATGATTATAGGTACAGTACTTTACAAAAGGAGCGGCACTCCTGAAACTCTAGAACCACGATAGCTAGGAACTTCTAGGACTTTTGTGGTCCATTCGCTTGCGCTTTTAATGAAGTAAAAAACTAGACATTTTAAAAATGAATTTTTGATAGAAAAAATATTGATTCTATTTTTTACCACAGACGTGCCAAAGCGAAAAGTATGAGTAGAAAAGAAACGCTATTTTTTAATATTTCAAGATTAACAATAACTCAAAGGATGATTTTAGCAGCCATAACTATGAGGAATATTTCCTGCAAAAAACGTTCGATTAGAGACTCTACGAGATATAGATATGATCATGTTTTATGTTGGAACGGTATAAATGGTTGGCAAACATCCTCTATATCAGTGTCATTTCAACAGATGATAAACTCGATACGTTTTGCACTGATATGTAGTACTTTTATTCGGATTATTTAGTTTTCTTTTATTTAAATAGGTATGACAAATATCCTGATAGTTTTTCTTTTAAAATACATCACTTAAATTGACATCACTACTTTTCTTTGTATCTTATTGTTCTCGTTTTGTTTTACGTAGAATAAAATGAGAAGAAGAATTAATTCATGATGAGTAGCATGTCACTATTATTATTTCTTGCGGTGCTTTACATTTTCTCAACCTTTCAATCTTCTCTCTCGAACGTCTTCAATTTTTTGAAATTGAATTTTTGAAATTGTGTAATACAAATAAATCACCTGCTTTGCGCACGAATCTAGGTTTTCCAACCGATGCATAATAGTCATGCACCTATAATTAATTGATGATAGACAAAATGTTAAACAAAATAAGTATCTACAGAGTTCGCGAATTTCTTTATTTAGGGAAGAAAACAATAGGGTTTTAAGTACGAAAACTGACTCACTTTTTTGTTGCCTACTTTAAGACCGTTCAGCGATGAAAAGATTAAAAACTGTGGTGTATTTTTTTTTTTTTAGAAGATAAAGGCGTCGATAAGGATTTTGTTTAACATTTTGTCTATCATCAATTAATCATAGATGCATGACTATTATGTATCTGTTGGAAAACCTAGATTCGTGCGCAAAGCACGTGGTAATAAATAGAATCAATATTTTTTCTATCAAAAATTCATTTTTAAAATGTCTAGTTTACTTCATTAAAAGCGCAAGCGAATGGATCACAAAAGTCCTAGAAGTTCCTAGCTATCGTGGTTCTTGAGTTACAGGAGTACCGCTCCTTTTGTAAAGTACTGTACCTATAATCATCATTTCCCCAACGCAATCTCCAGATGTTCGAAATTGTCAACCCTCCTAAAGGACTAGACCTTTAATTCACGCATGATTAGATCTGAGACGAAAAAGTTGGATTTCTGCCCATATTTCTCAATTTTCTCGATCAGAACTCAACTTTTATCCAATAAAAATATCATATTCGGAATCAAGATGAAAAACTAAGTCGATTGATGTGTATTTCTATTCTATCCACTCTGATTTTTTTCGAATTTTCACATTGAAAAATTACCGAGATTTTTACGCAAAATCTCGTCATTGATGACCTAAGGGACTGTCGGAGCAAGGGAAAGTGGAAATAATAAAAACTAAGAAATGTTTGCTCAGTTGTTACGTCATGTAAGGGAAGAAGCTACAGGATCCTTTTGACAAATGATGTGAAGTGAAAGTGAATAAAAAACACAGTTATTTTCTATAATTAGCACGTAACAGTACAATCTGACTGTCGTCATTTTTTTCAATTGAAAAGTATCTTTTCCAAAAAAATACTGTTTCTTTAAACTTCTCAATTAGATCCTGTGTATCTTTTCCATAACAACACTCCAATCGTATATCAAGTACAAATCGTTTCAGTTTTTGTTTTCTTCAGAAGAGAAAACATCCGTCCATTGATTAGCACAAAAATAATCTGTATGTCGGCCACTCGTTGTTCCTATCATTTTCACATGACTTAAACTTTAAGCAGAAATGGACCCTCTCTAGTTAATTTAATTTTAATCTAAGAAGTTGGTAGAATATCAGTTCTTTGGACATGTAATCAATGAATACATAGATTAAAATAGAAAATTTGTTCTTTTCTATAAGGAATAAAGTTCTGCATACATATATGCGAACAGAGAATGAACGAGAAAGAAAAATAAGATCAAAGGAAAGAAAAGTGAACGCAGTGTGTTTGATGTCTACAGCTGAATATAGCGTAATATACCGTGAAACCTCCAACGGAGCCACCGGATCCAAAAAATGGACAGGGGGTCTCAACGAGATCTTTGCGCCGTACATACGGCGCAAAGATCGCAACGTTGTACAACGTAACTCGTCGCGCTGATTCCGAATATGCAAAAATCTCGGTTGACGCATCTCTAGAAAAAAACCATCAAATTTTGATATGATTTCGCATCCACATTGTCACTATGTGTTTCAAGTTGGTGAAAGAGAGGTTGAAAATATTCAAATAAAAATAAGTCAGACACTTCAGTGGTATCACATGGTTATCACAATCTTTAAGCTGCTCAGCAATTTCGAAAAGCGTCAGATTAAGATAACGTAACTTCGGCAGTTGACCGAGCAGCAAGTACAATTTTTGGACGCGAACAAATCCTTGAATTGTCAAAAGTTCTAAAGACGATGCCAATAACAAAGTAATTGGTTTCGGTGGCTCGAAGTAAGTATGTTTACGGTTGCCATTTACTTCCAAAACTTTCAATCTCGGCATTTCCAGTGCTAGGCAGAGAATAGCAGTGCGTTCATATTCGTGTTGTTCATCAACTGATAAAAATTCGAGCTGATCGGATAACGACCACACAAAGGACTGTATATCTTTAAATTCTAAGCCGATTAACGTCAGTGCTCGAAGCAACGGAAATCATTCTAAAGAGACTTTAGGAACAAAGCTGGACAGTTTCAGCGAGATTAATTGACGAGGATTTATTATGATAAAGAAATCGTTAAAAAATTGCGAAGTTAAATCAACGTGCAATAGTAGACGAGCATCAGTTAATATTCGATTTATTCGGCTGTTTAAGTTATAAAGTGACAGAAATAGAGTCACAGTATTTCCTACATATTCCATGGTTTCCATCAACAAGTCATCCGACAGTGATTCAAATTCAGATTTTTCTGTCGACGACATTGAATTCTGGTCTAGAAAAACAAAATTAACAAAAGATTATTTTGAAAAAGGTATAATGTGCAG